GTTTTGGCACTTATTTGGTTACCGGTATGACAAAAATTTTGGAATTAGATTTACTAATAAATGATCACGTGCTAGACCGTATCCTTAAATAATCCATATAATATTTCAAATTTATCAGTTCCACTGTTGATATCTACAGAGATCATGAAATCTGGCTTATGTCCATCACCTTCCTCATTAGATTTTCGTTCAGCACTTGACATTGACATCTTGTTTGCCCTGTAGTAATAAATGAGTGTCATTAAAATAATGGTTTTAAATGTCCAACAAAACATAATTATTTTTAAAAATAATTACCAGTTAATATCACGTCCTTGTTCAAGAGTGAAGAATGGCTTTAAAAGTGGATGCAATAGCTTGTGAACATGAGTATCTTCTATTGTTTTATTGCCATCAAATGAAGTTTTCCAATTCTCACTACTATTGAATTTTAATACATTTAGATTGGAATTGCTTAGATATCATCACTAAATACAAGTTAGGAATTAACCTACAGATGTTTCCACACATTCTGGCATTTTCTTAACAATTTTTTATCAGGATCATCCAATTCCGATTTAAGTTTATAATACAACTGCTCTACTGAATCTTCAAACTTGTCTTTATCATTTTCTCTGCTGATATCAGCACATTCATGACAGAAGTCTTTAATAAATTTATTTAAATTATTTTTTTGATATAAAATTTTCATCTGGCCAAAAGCTTGCTTTCTAATGGATGGCGGGATATCAAGTCTTGTTCATATGGAATTCTCTTCCATCAAAAAAATTGAATTTAATGATCTTATATTTGACAAAAAATTTTTCAAGAATATTAGCAATTTTACTATCTGTGTGAAGTTTCTACATCAAAAGAAAGTTAAAAAAAAATAACTAACAATATTTCCGATGGGTGAGCAGCATATGTTAATTTACCCTCATTAGCCAAAGAGATAGCCATATTCTTAAAGTCTAAAAACGATTTTGTTATACTATGATCATTAATAATCCATTCCTGTATAATATACATAAATTCTAGTTATTATTGGCAGTTTAAATAATCAAATATGGAGTTAGAAAGCTTACAACCACATACATCAGCAATGGCTTTTTCATCATTCAAAAACTTCCATTTCAAGATGTGTGTTTTCTTAGCAGGTGGAGCTTGTTTTTGAGACTTTCTTTTGAGTTTATTTATAGAATCATTCTCAAGAGGATTTTCGACAAAAACATTGGAAAAGCCTTCAGATATAATTTCTTGGGCATTATTATCTGCAACTTCACGATATATATTAGTACTACCAATGAGATGTGCTCGTTTTACTGCCATCTATTACAAGATTAGTGTTGTTCATGTTTGAAATCAATGATGAAGAGATCCATCATATTTATATGACAATTTCATAAAAATAAATGATAATAGAACCTTTCCCCGCTCATAAATTATTTCTTCCCAATAAGGCTGTAAATTTTTGTTTCCACGTTGTCTTTTTACCTACCATAGATATATGAAGGAAAATTAGTGCCTAGTTTTTATAATACAAGTAAAAGGGTTAACCACAAAAAAAAAAAAAAAAAAAAGTGAATCGCAATGGTGAGGCCATGATAAGAGCTGATACTTCTAGTCCAGACAAGAATAGACCGAAGCTGCCAACACCATCACTCGGGCTGGAATGAGAGCCAATACTCCTAGTCCAGAGAAGGATAGACCGGAGCCCCCTATCACAAATAAATATACGAGTACATCACCTTTTCTTCTAAAGTTATTAAATCGTCAGAATTCAGTTCTTTTGCCTCCTTCAAAAATCTACGAGCCCAGGTGAGGTCAAGAAGACTCCAATCGTCTAAAAAAGGTGGTGAGGAAATGATAATGTCTTTGTGAAGATTTAAAAACTCAGTATAGGACCATACTGTATTCTCCTTCAAGTAAGAGTTTAAAGCTGGAATAATATGACAATTAGAAAAAAAGAGTTTATTTTTTTTTCTTTTAAATTACTGTCCAATACTCACCATCGTATCCAGGATAGAGCTCAATGTTCATGATGCAAGTACTGGTATTAATATTTACGTCAAATATTTTTTTGAATGGCCTTTTTTTTTAATTTCCTGTATCACAGAAAAACATACATAGATGTGCCACAATCGCACAGCACATGCGGACAGGGATAGTGAGGGGAAGTTGTACAAAATAGGCTTTATCCTATATTACCTCGCCGGGGGCAT